TGATCCATTCATGGAGTAATGTGCGTGGCTCTGATGGCTTTAAAAGCAGAATAAGTGAGGAGGTTAGCTCTCTTGCTCAGCCCATTCTCACCATGTGACATTCAGGTCACCACAGGACCCTACAGAGAGTTCCCACCCAGAAGAACCTCACCAGATGTGTTCCCTGGACTTCGGACTGCCAGCCGCCAAAACAGTAAGAAATAAGTTTTATTCCTTTTTATGGATTACCCTGTTTGAGGTATTCTGTTATAAGCAACAGAAAACTATTACAATGTCATAAATTAGAATTTGTAAATTTCTAGTAATGAAACATCCTTTCATTCAGTTCAGACATGGGGTTCCATGTTAGATTTAAAAAATAAAAAAGGCTCATCAGACACACCCACAAACACTTCTTTTAAACAGTGATCATCCTTTTATTTTTTTATGTTGTTAACTTTATTCTCATTGTTCTCTCAGACACTTCCTTCAGATTCAAAGCCTGTGCAAATTTTGAGGCCCCACACATTATTTCATGTGCCTAAAGGAAGCGATAGAAATTTAACCCTGTCTGAGCACATTCCATTTCCAAGGTCAAGTCAATAAGCACTGCAGGAAGAGGGGCAGTGCCAAGTTCAAGAACGGCTGCCAGCTGTGGCCCTGAGGAGAGCTTACCTTGCCAGCCGCAAACAAGTGGCAGCCCTTGACAGCTTCAAAAACGTTGGGCGAGATGTCCGGCTGGGCGGGAAGGTGAGACTGCGCTAGGGACTGCTTCACTTTCTTCACATCCACGAGGCACAGCGCCCGCTCTTCCCCTGAGGGGGCAGGAACAGCCTCTTGTCAGCACGAGGCCGTCAGTAAAGCTAAGGGACAGCAGCTCCAGTTCTACTCACAAACACAAGCCACAGGCGGCCATGCGGATAGACCTGAGTTTTCCAAAAACCCCTATACCCACATTTTAGGTCTCCATTTTAGATCTAGGATGAAAACATTTGGCCTTTTCCTCAAGATTNGGCACAGCGCCCGCTCTTCCCCTGAGGGGGCAGGAACAGCCTCTTGTCAGCACGAGGCCGTTAGTAAAGCTAAGGGACAGCAGCTCCAGTTCTACTCACAAACACAAGCCACAGGCGGCCATGCGGATAGACCTGAGTTTTCCACAAACCCCTATAACCACATTTTAGGTCTCCATTTTAGATCTAGGATGAAAACATTTGGCCTTTTCCTCAAGATTCCAGGGGGGAAATAATTCTGCAGACATAAAATAGAAGAATGTGAACTGTATTTTCAAAAAGGCTCCCAAGATAAGTAAAGAAAGAGTGAGTTGGGAGGCAAAGAGGGGGCATTCTACAAACATCAGGCTTGGACAATTCAACTATGCCAATGTCATGAAAGACAAAAGAAAGGCTGAGGAACTGTTCCAGATTAAAGAATACTAAAGAGACATGATTAAAATGCAGCGCGTGATCCCGATTTGGATCATGAATTGGGGAAAAAAATACTACAAAGGACATTATGGGGGCCACAGGTAAACTCTGACTATGGGCACTATATCAGATAATTGTATTACAGCAAGGGTTAAATTTCCTGAATGCAAAAATTGTACCATATGAAACTATTCTATATGATACCACAGTGGTGGATACATGTCAGTATACATTTGTCCCAACCCACAAAATGTACAATACCAAGAGTGAACCCCAATGTAAACACGAACTTTGGGTGATGATGATGTGTCAATGCAGGTTCATCAGTTTTAACAAATGTACCACTCCGGTCAGTGATGTTGGTAGTGGGGGAGGTTGTGCATGTGTGGGGGGGACAAGAGGTATATGGGAAATCTCTGTACCTTCCTCTCAATTTCTTTGTGAATTTGAAACTACTCTAAAGAATAAAATAAGGAAAAAAGAGGATGGTAAAGAGAAAGGAAAAAGGGTAGGGAAGGGGAGGACAGGAAATGATCTGAGCTCCCACCTGTTATCATGAGAGATCAAGAAAGGTCAGGTCCTGACCATATTATTTCAGCCCCTAGATCCAGCCATGCCTGAAACAAGACCTAACTGTGGATGTTTCAAACACTGAATTAATACATTACTGTTTTTCCCTTTAAAAAAACAGTATCACCAACAAAAGGAGAGAAAAAAATTATTACCATGAATATGTGAAAGAATGCCCTTGTCCTTAGGTTGATATGCTGAAGAACTTGGGGTCATACCTGAACTTACTCTCAAATGGTTCAGAAAGAAGGTGATGTGCATGCATGCGTATGCGCAC